CAAGAATGATTCACTTCTCCTCTATATATTTACCATTAACTGACATCAACGGGAAAAATCTACCAGCTGTAATTGGTTGTCAGTTAGAGATCTGATCCCCAAGAATTGTCTTGGAGATCAGCCGCTGCACCCTGAAAAGAAGCACTTGGGAACACTTGTGCACCGCAACAGAGTAGATCTCGCCTTTGAAAATGTACTTGTTGATCAATCAAACTACGACTTATCGATCGTACCCCTCTTGTGCTTTTACAGAACACAAACATCTCCTTAATTTTGGAGAGAAACACCAGATCTTTAGAAGAGGCCCAACCTGTCAAAGCAGTGTCATCAGCGAGGGTGAGAAATGCAATCATTAGTGTACGGTGAATGAAGCAGTGCCCAAAGAAAAATATGCAAAAATAATTATTCAATTACATTATGAAATATACCAGTCTATGTGAACACTAAATTGTTATTGTCGGCAGTTGGTCTATTAGTTCCCAATAACGGACGTCTATGATCCCTCGAAATTTATTAATCTCAATTACCGGCGATGAATGAATGTTGTTGTTGTTGTAAATGAATGTTTGTTTTGCTTCTAAAGACTAAATCTTCAATGAGTAATCACTTTAGAAAGAGTGTATTTTAGTTTAATTATTAATGTCATTTTAAAACACAAACTACTCATCTTGGAGATAGAATTGTTGAATCTAGCGACTCTCCCTGCTGTCCTCGTGCACTTTGCTCTCAACTATCAACTAATTTAACGGTTGAAGTGCCAACAATCTCCCCACATTTAGCCAGAAGGTTTTCAAACCACGGCCTTTTACGGACACAGTGGTGATCCTCTGCAGACTGTGTGTCGCGCAGGGTAACGTTAGATGTTGATGGAAGTAGCATAGCAGCTAGCTTAGCATAGCGGTGCCTTAAGTGGTCCGTTGGCTACTCATCCCCCTTCTGTTTGACACGTGGAGTAATTCCTCTGCACTGTTCCTATTTGTTTTACTTACAAAAAGCTCTGTCCATCTCGATGTATCTGACTGCAGCCAGCGGCCGTTTCGTTTCCACTGTCAACTTCCGTTAAACAACGTTACGTTAACTACGTTAAAATATTTTGCTGCATTAATCTCGGCTACATTGATCCCATAGATTAAAGCGGTTATGTTGACGGCCCTACTACTATAAAACCATTTATTGAGAAGCGTGATAGTTCAACATGCTAGAATTCACTGCAAACGTGTTTACTGATCGGGCATTGAACAACTCAGAACAAGATGTATGAACTCCTACCTGCAACAGGTGGAAGGCTGGGTGGGAGGGAACCTGGTGGGGGCACGGGGGGCCGCAGGTTCACGGGCGGGGGGTTCATGAGAGGTGGTGGTGGTGGGAGGCCTGGCGGTGGTGTTTGGTCTGGGATTGGTGGCGGTTGGAAGGGCAGCATGTTGGGCAAATTGACATCCTCCACTACAACTGGGTCACTTCCATGGTCAAAAGGACACATGTCCCCTCTCATGCAGAAACCTTTTTCTGGAAGAGATAACAGACTGATGTAGAAAACCGAGCACATAGAATGACGCAAGCAGACACAGAAAAGGTAGTGGTGCCTTTTTTCACAGTTTTTTATTTTACAAAAATCAGTTTCTGTACCACCCAAATATATTTTGAATTTTTTTATAATACTTGACGCTCCAATAGCTAATAGACACACTTCGATATTTGTCTGTTTGTAGAGGTTATATAGTCAATGCAATAGTGAACAATGTTTTTCAAACGTCACTTATTTTCCTGATATTGTACAGGGCCCACTTACCGTCATAGTCACGGCATCGCTTCCTCGGTTGAGGGGGAGGTCCTCTATTAAAAAGGCCACGATCCACAGGGTTCCCGGGGCGGAAGTCGGACCAACTCTCAGTGGTATTGTTGCTGTGATGATGTGTGGGGGCAATGACTGTGATGGTGCTGCTCAGCGTTGGCACAGGGAAGTGGGAAGTGGTTGCAGCGGGGAGTACGACTGCTGGGGGAAAACAATCGCCAGTCTCTGGCCTTTCCACTCGATCATGTTCAAACTTCAACTTCCCAGAATCTCTTTCTGCAAATAGACAAAAAAAAAAAAAAGCAACGTCTCTCAGTAGAATAACTTGCTATGGTGTGCATACCATTGCAAAACTCATACGTAACAACGTGTTGTCATGTTGTTTTCCCTGACTAATTTCCTAATATCCAGTTATTGTTTGTCCACGTTATCCACACATGATCATCTCTGTGCTGCTATGCCTTCTGGAATTTGTAGGTCAGTAGTGTTATGTCATTGTATACAGTGAGTAAATCCTATAACGCTTTGAAAGGTCAGCAACAAACATGGAGTTCAAATGGGTTGAACTTTGAGCAAGATTCCAAAGAATGTTGTTTTAAATTCCAGGTATTGGCGTCATTGCTCTCTCCATTGAAAAGCAACGGTTCAAATAAGGACAGAGTGATCCGGTTCATGTGTCTTAGGTCATTTTAGTTCAGGTTCTTACCTCTACTCCTGCTTCCAGACCGGGTTCTGCTGTGCGACCGGCTCCTGCTGCGATCCCGGTTCCTGTCCCGCTCTCTGTCTCTGTCCCTGTCCCGGTCCCGGTCCCGGATGTGATCCTTGCTCCAACTGCGGCTGCGGCTACGACTGTAACTGCGGCCTCTCCTGCGATTGTATCGATCGCGGTATGAATCCCTCCGCGGAGGGATGCGGTCATACTCCCTCTTCCTGGAGCGGTCGTCTCTCTTACGCTCATCTCCTCTTCTGAAAGTTTGGATTAAATAAAAAACATGACGATTACTGAAAATTAAATGTGTGTTGAAAGACACCATTGACAAAGGGAGTTGCACACACCGAACATCTCTGTTGTAGCGAGAACTTGATTGGGGTGGGCTGTGATTCACCCTCCGAGGGAACTTCTTCTCCCGTTCGTCATCGCGGTTCGGCTGAAAACATTTTTAAAAAGTAATTGCATATGAATATGTAGATAAGATGGCTGCTGACATAAATGGTGCTCCATCTATCGTACCTCTTCTTTCTTCGGCTCATCCTTCTCAACCTTGATCAGAGACGGTGGCTGATCGGGCTGCGGGAGGTAGTTTTTGTTGTTAATGGCTTCAAACAGCTTGTCCACAAATGGCTGAGTCTCTGGAAGAAGATTCATTCAGCCATGAACACATAGCTACACACGTGTCAAATCAAAAAGATGCATGGCAACTACAACTTTCCATGGAGCAGAGGAATTGAATACCTTTCTGGAGGAATACATCCAGCTGGTCTATGCACAGGGCTTTGAGTTCCTTTTCACTTTTGTCTTTCTTCACCAAAGCAACAACATACTTAGCAAGGGCCGAGGGGTCTGCATCGCATCTGGAAGGGTTCAGAGTGAAAGCCATGAGAAAACAAAAATGACCACGTCAAGACGGCCAAGACATGTAACGTTAGACCTAAATAAAAGTATGACACCTTTGCGTTCAGGTGTACGTTTCTGACGTTAGCTCTCATGTGGCTCAGGCTGAGCTAGCGAGGCTAAAGCCGAGTTGCTAATAGCGACCATTACTTACATGGGCTCGAGGGCTTCAGACAGCCATGTTTTCAAGGCATCAAGGTTTTCAATGATCATTTTAGATTCGGCCGAGCTTTCCATCCAGAGTTAACGCTTGCCGGGCGGCCGCTGCTTATGTGTTTGATAAGAAACCCGGCATCAGCTGGTGAAAAGAGCCACTTCAGTGGTCTCCGGCCAGGCTGCCGTGCTACACACGGCGTTAGCTGAGCGGCCTTGTTAACGTCGGCTAGCTTAGCTGCGCTAGCATGCGTCTTTCCAGGCCTTCGGACGTGCCAAACGATTATTCAACTCTCGTAATGTGGTTTTAATTGAGATGCAAACATTGTGTGTCTTTTGTTTCTCAACAGCCAACCAACTAACCCCGATGCTGTAAATGTTATTTATCCGTTAAACGTAGTGGAGGACCCACGCTGAACTTGCTACTTTATCCCCGCTCACTAGCTAACATGCCTTGGCGACTATTTACTTCCGCTCGTGTTCTCCCGTGCGAAGCCTCGCGAGAGAAATGTGCAGCGGCAGTTCCGTAAAAAGACGGATCCTGTGATGTTTAAAAGCTCGCATTGTTGCATTACCGCCATCCTGCGGTTATATTCCGCGCTGCTCGCAAACGTTTGGTAAACCACCTCATCCCAGATTACAAGAGGCCCGTTTCAGTGTATGGGTCGCCTGGTTCATCTGCTCGTCCTCTTTTCTGAATACAGGTGCTGATAACACGTTGCACTGGTTGTGTGTTTCTCCACCCTGTGTAGTGCACATGTTGTGGTGTTTCTTTCTTAATCTTGCCGTAGCAACATTCTTACTTGACACCTTTATAAAATAATTAAATAGGTTAAATAATTGTAGAAAAAAAAGTAGGAGACAGAATTGACACACATACAAGTCATGCATCAAAGATACTCAACGGTTTCTTCCCTGGTACTGGATATAAAGCTGGAAGAACACCAAGTGCTGGTAATCATCCTTGGATGCAGCCCATCATCTTCTACACCTCCAGCACCACAACATTATTTGGACATTGATGCACAAACATCTTTATCATCAGCTGACCCGAACACAATGTTTGTGTTGAGGAAGAGTTGAGACTCGATATTGTAACCTATACTAAACCTACTAAAAACCTTATCTGTATTTTCCACTACACAAATATTTTTCGATTGAACGTGGGTCCCTCGGCCCTCTCCTGCTTTTTTTCTTTGAGGTCAGCAGGTATCCATACAAATTCAAAGTTCAGTTCCCTGTTCTGTTGCTCTAGTGAGCTGACATTATGAACAGATCCGGTCGAATGTTGAACACACCGGACTTCACTGCCTGTCTGTGTGTAGTTTAAAAAAATTAAATTACATTAAGTCCTTGCTTTATAAACCTCAAGCTTTGATACAATTTTAGACATTTTGAAAATATTGTGGACCTAAAGAGCTTTAAAAATAATAACACAGCACGTTTCAAATACAATTTTGATCTTTATTTGTTTCTTAGTTTCACTTGATCAACTATAAAAACAGCACAGTGAAAGATAGAAGAGCACATAACTATAAAATATAAGCTTTAATTCTTTCATATAAACCAGTGTGATCCTGCAGGATAGGACAAACTGGTCCCCTCTTGCAAAATCTATTCAACAACCCTCTCAATAAGATCAAGATATCAGCTAAAGTGGAAAAATGAAAGCTGATTATATACACAATGTCCCGCTTATAAAAAACCTCAGTACATTCATACCCACCAATATTCTTAGTGACTTTCTCAAAAACAGAAAGAAAACTGCTTATCTATGCATCAACATAATATAGTTTGTGTTTTTCACTGACTATTTTTAATAAAATACAGGAAGGAGCAACACGGCAAACTGCAATGGTTCGCAGTACGAGAAATAATAAAACGTCAAACAGCCAATAATGATCATTGCTTTGAAATAAAACCTACAGTACAGTAGACGTTAGAGTTGCAGGCTAGTTTTCGCGGTCGATGAACTGCAGGTTGATGGGGGCGGCGGGGCACAGCAGCCCGTGGGTTTTGGGCTTGACATCAGCGGTGAGAGGAGACGCGCAGATGTGGAATTTTTGAATTAGCTGCACAGAGAGCAAAGACACAGAAGTCAGTCAGAGTACACAAGTCTTTGATTACAGTCATATTGAAGCCAAACATTTAGTAGCACAGAGAACCTGTCAGATTAAAAAAAAGTATATAGTATTCAGGGGGCTGCTGAAAAAAAAAATTATTTTGTACTACACTATAATAATTAAAGAACGTCGATTTTCCATGGCATGATTTAACAACATTTATTAAAACACTTTAATGTTTAAGCTGGCAAGCGTTGTTTTAAAAGCCTATTATAGAAGGAAAAATAGATCTTTGATTAGTATTATCTAGGATTTCCTCAGTATTAGGAATTAAAATGAGTTAGTAATATGTGTTAGACAAGGACTGGGCACTGCTGTATGCATAAAACAAAATAGGAACTTCATTCATACAAGTGGATACTGTTAGATGTGTTAGACACATGTGTGTGGCAAGTTTTTTTTTTCCGCCCTACCCTTGTGAGAGCCAGATGCATCTCTAACTCTGCCACTCTCTTGCCAATGCAGCTCCGAATGCCGTAGCCGAAGGGAATTGAGCCGAAGTTGTCGACGCGATCTGTGGAATCTTTCCTTATCCAGCGATCCGGTCGGAAGTCTAAAGCGCTGGCAAAGTTCTCCTCCTCAAAAGACGTGGAGTAGTGACAAAGGGCCAGCTGAGTCTAAGAAAGTGAGAAAAAAACAAGAGGGTTATGACAACAGCTGAACTATTATACAAAGGGAAGGGAAGGGTGTGCGAGTAATGCAACATCACGTTACGTCTGGGCCCTCGGATGTTTTTTTGGATCTCTCATGGTCATGCTTTCTCTTCATTAACATGCAGGCATCTAGTGGAATGGGCCTCAAGTATTTTCCCACCGGTGGCCTTACCCCTTTGGGAATGAAGTATCCGCCAACCACCAAGTCATCCTGGGTAATGCGTCCGTTGCCGGGGAGAACTGGAAAGAGCCTGGGGGGGGACACACAAAGACTGCTATTAAAACAGCCCTAAACATTCATCTTCCGCCAAAGTTGGAGTGCAAAATAATTGGGGGAAAAAAACAACTATCCTTCAGTCTGTACCTTAGGGTCTCTTTGACCAGACCCCTGATGAGAGGCAGACGAGTGACATCATCGGCTGTGGCTACTGCTCCTGGTCCCAGAGTCCTCTTCACTTCCGTAAAGATTTGCTGCTGAATGTGAGGGTGCCGTGCTAATAGGTAGCTGGCCCAGGACAGGGTGAAGGAGGTCTTGACGAATAGAAAACAAACAAACAAACATATTATACGCAGTACTCACAATAATTGTCCACACATGGATTTTAGGAGACAAATACTGGTAGAGATTCAGCCTTGTTTTGCTCGAAATGACACCAAAGACCCTCCAGGAGGTCAGTAGCTCTTTTAACTGACAATCACAAGACGCTGCACAAGCCCAACCATTCTATCTTACTACTCCATCCCCCACCTCCTTCATTTTCAGACTCTCCCTCCCACTTTGTCACCCCCCTCCTAACATGCAACAGCTCACCAAAGTACAGACAAACACCCAGCTGGTCTTTTCTCCCGCGCTTATGACGCCAGCCTCCTAACATTTGGCTCTCCCTCTGGCTAACCCTCTTCTCACCTCAGCCCAGTCTGGGATGTCTGGTCTAATGTGTCTTGAATAAAAGGGAAATACAGCACAGGGTCAGATAATGGCTGAGCGAAGCCCACCCCCCACCAGGACTTGGCCGTTAACGCAAGTTTGATAAAAATACACACATCCTTTAATCTCTCGCCGTCTGGGTCAGAACAAAACTTTCCACACTGATAATTATCATTATTCTGACAGTACCCCAAACAAATTAACGGTGTACACACACACACACACGCTGGTGCAGATGAAAACTGCTGCTGCTATCTCATTAAGTTCCAATGTTGAACACACAACACAGATGTCTGGCTAAAGGGGGGGGAAAAAAAGACAAAAGCTCTCCCTGTGTGGAAGAAACTAAATCTGAGTGAGAACGTGTTTGTCAGAGGGATATTGCGTAACCTCCTGATTCTCTGCTCTGAAACCCAACCCTTGAAACTAAAGACTGAAATATGCAGACACACACACACACACACACACACACACACACACACACACACACACACACACACACACACACACACACACACACACACACACACACACACATTCCCTCGGCGAAATAATCTCTACACTCCTCAAACCCCTCTCCGCACATACAATTAAAACACACACACACACACACACACACACCGTGTCAACCCCGGCCAGCAGCATCTCCGTTAAATTGGCGTAGATCTCCTCCATGGTCATCTCCTTGGTAACGAGCAGGTGTGTGAGCAGCCCCCCCTTCACGTCCTCCCCCCGCTCCAGCTGTGCCTTGATCTCCGCAAGCCTCTTGTTCACGTGAAAGCGGCCTGGGATCACAAAAACGTGTTGGGATACACGGAAGGGAGAGGAGTGGTGGGGAGGGGGGGAGAGAAGGAAATAGAGAAGGAAAAAAAAAGGAACACAACTGTAGAGACGCCCTTTACTCCCACAATAGAGCAGCATAGATTTATATGCAAATCTACATTCCTTTTCACTGAAGTCCAGGCTTTTTTTTAGAAAAAAAGAGAAAGAAAAAAGTTGCTGATGCTTAACCAGACCAAAGTTGTACCATTTAATACAGAGAAAACCTCGTCTTGCATGTTTACACTCACTTGGGGAAGCAACTCTATAAACATGTCAAGATGTACAGGTCACGGATCGCTCACTCTCAATTGTGTTTAGGGTGATGTACCAATATTACTGATTGCACTGATTTGAAGTGCTTTGGCCTCCCTGGTAAGGGACTATAAAGTACTTGAAAGTACTTTATAGTCTCTTACCAGAGATTCTTTGTGCCCTTTGATCGCAATATGACGACACTTACTGAATTTGAAAAGGCCGTCCCAAGAGAGACAGAACTCCTCCCACGGTTTGGGGATGATAGGACGGAGCCACTTGGGGATGGCACCTGCATACATGGTTGTCTTGAAGGAGCTGAACATGAGGTGCAGCGCGCCAATGTAGTCTTGGGTTTCCTGGGGAATGTCGTTTTCCAGACATCCTAATCGGGACTCGTACAAAATCACTGCCACGCCTGTAACGGCAAGAAAAAGGGAGACGGTTACCTAACCTGCACCTTCTGTTTCAATTTCACCTTTTCCAACATCAAGTTCATTCCCAACCTCTCTCCGCGGGCTCTTTACGAACCTTCCATGGCATATTTGAAGAATAGGTCATTGACATTGAGGACAGTGGCTCCATCAGGCTCCTGGGTGCGCAGAATGCAAACTCTCTTGATGAGGTCATCCACCACTTTGTTCACGTCATCGGAGAAGACCGCCACGTCCCGGGGACGCATGATGAGCTGCCTGAGCACACTCCGCATCTTCAGCCAATCTTCTCCCTCCCTGAAAACGTAGCCGTGACTCAACGCTTTGCATTATATCCGCGTGTACACACACAGAAATCCCACATTCAAATTTCAGGAGGTCCTTAGCGTTCAGAGTTTAAGATGTGCGGTTGAAGGGGGGACTCACGCGGAGATGAGGCCAGTGGAGCTGCCGATCATGTCTCTGTACTCCTTCCAGGACTCCATGTTTGCTCTCTGAGGGGCCACCCCCTCAGCCCTCAGCACCTCAGCCACCAGGTCCCGGTCAGCAACGGACACCACCAGCTGGGGCCCAAAACGGGATTTGAAGATTTTGCCAAACTTCTTCCTGTGCTCCATCTATGTAGCCGTGGAGACACACACACACACGCACACACACACACACACACACACACACACACACAAACAAAACAGTTGTTACATGTGTTGAAATCTGTTTTTGGAAATCTCCTCCGGTTTTATAACTGTTCATTCTGTGCACATGACATCCATTGTGGTCTGTCGAGGACGCCCCTTCCCCTCCATTTGTTGCCCATCGGAAGGTCTTTTGTTGGAGAGTTTTTCCTGCTGATGGGAGGGTTTTGGGACAGAGGATGTCGTACGTGTACAGACTGTAACCCCCTGAGGCAAATTTGTCATTTGCGATTTTTTTGGCTAAAGAAATTAAAATGACGTATACTTTTGGCCGCCTTTGTCCTAATGCGGGATTAGTTCGGGGTGATGAATGAATCAAACATAACCGGAGTGTTTTGGGCTCTTATGTGACACAGTGATCAACACTGAGGGTTGTTACAGTGGCGATTTCCTTTTGCAGCTTTTTAAAGATGTTCCCCGCAGACTGATCCCAAAGAGCACCACAGTATTTGCCATGCACTGTTATGGAACAATGACTGTAGCATTAAACTCCCTCTGAGAGTGCAGTGAAACTCGTACCCGGGAGAGGAAATCTGGCAGCGACTAAACTTCTGGCACTTTTACGCGACTATCTGTGCCATTTTACGCATAGGTGGCAAAAACTGGCTGACGCTGAGAATACGTCGGCTCGCTTCCCTCGGGTGGGAGACTCACGGACACGACTTCATCCATCATACTGAGCGAGACAAAGCACAAAGAAAGTCGACGTTAAACAAGCACCTGGATTTCATGGATTCGGCTGAAACCGTCTCTCCACAGGAACTCGACCAAATTGGAGATGGTGCTGGGTCCGGGCATTTCTTTCAGCGTCATGATTCGGGCTTTCTCGCCGACCTCGGACGGTGCGATCAGTCTGTCTGGCATGGCCTCTTCTCCAGCCACAGAGAGCCCAGAAGCGTCGCTGGCCGCGGACTTATGCAAGGCGCGTAAGATGAAGAACAGCTGCTTCTTCGTCCGCTCTCCTTGGAGATTCTTCCAGCACGTTGTCGCGAACGAGTTCAGGATGGCCATAGTTTCGTCCCCGGCTCACGCCAATGCACCCCTCTCTATACGAAGAAGTGATGGTGGCCCGTAATGCATCGTGAGGGGTTTTTAAAGGGTCTCTTATTCAACCGCAGCAATGGCAGAGGATTGGATGTTCGCTGAAAAGGAGGGAGGGATGCCTCTGTATTCGGGTGTGGGCGTTTACCCCGGAGGGCGGCTGGGGCCATTCTTTCAATGGGAAGGTTTGCGACACAATGACACTTAACATACTTACATCAGCGCGACCAATTAGCCCCTGTGCCAAACGCACGGGGAATAACAAGAGGGATTAACGAAAGGATGTTTGTGTAGCAGGATGACTGCTTTTCCAGTGGCTCCGCCCACTCGCAGTATTGTGCCCCTTTAATTTATTATATAAGGAGGGACCTGTAGATCTGCTCGCTCTCTGACAGCTGATACGCACCTCCCCCTTCCGGGTTTACCTGGCTGCAGGTTCGGCAGACGCTCGGCACTCTCTGCAGGGTTGTGCAAATTGTTCCACCGTGCAGGTATGTTGCAGTCTATTGCGCGTCGGCGATTTAGTCTGCACCGTAATAAACTTGCGTTTATGTGCAGGCGCTGGCAGGTCGGACTGCGTGTTTGCTCGTTTTGTCCCGGAGCTATGCCACGCTGAGGTCCCGACTGCCCTGACCCGTTTTGGACTGCTGCTGCTTTGTGTGGGGATAAAACCCACACTTTTTACGGACCTTGCCTGCTGCTGCGTTCGGGTGTGGAAATCCCGTTGTCCGCATTTTTATGCCTATTGTATTATGTTTTCATGTTTAGCTGCCTGAAATAGGAGGTGGATGGCAAGGGAGATTTTTCTTTATTATTTTTGTAGCTATTTTTGGTTATTTGATGGTTTAGTTCTTTGAGTTCAAACTGTAACCTGTTTTGATATTTTCCTTTCTTTTTGATTTGTATTGGATCTCTATTGTTGTTGAATTTATTTTCAGTCTCCCATTAACTGTCCATCTTTGTGATTCCAGGTGCTGAGGGCCTCACTGGTGATCCTGTTTGGTGATGGTGTCCCTTCGTGTGTAGTGTCTTATTCACTCCCCTCCTTTGTTTTGCTTTGCCCTTGTGTGTTTGGAGTGTTAATTTTGGATTGTGGTGCTCCCATTTTAAGTTTATACTTTCACCCCTCACTCACCTTGAGCACAAATGCCCCAGCCCTGGAATACATGATAATTTATACAAATAGGATAACTTTTTTTAGATTTGAATTGTGCCCAATAAACTGTTGTATATGCTTTTGGAAACACGTCTCTCGCCTGCTCAGTGTAACGAACTTGTGTTGTCCTTTTGTTTAGATTTAGTAATTTACCTTATTCATAGATTTCTTTCTTTTCCCTGGGTGATTTCTCCCAGGGTGGCGTTGCTGGTTTCCTTTAGTTTCTTTCTTTTTCCCCTAGTTAAAAACATAGATTATTGGGGTAGTTCCTACCCCACCTCACGCTTGCCACAAACTTGGCGTTGCTGGCAGGACTTATACTGAAAAAAAAAAGGCAGAGACGTGTGTTCCTTTGTTTTTTGTTGTTTGTTTTTTTGTTTTTTTGTTTTTCTGAATAAGACAAAGCAGCAGCAGTCCCCTGGCAACCATGGAGGAAGAAATGCAAGAGTTGCGAGCTCTGGTTGCGCAGTTAAAGGCTGACAATGAGAGGTTGCGTCAAGCTTCGTTGGTGCCGCCCTCTAGTGCTACACCTTCAACCTCCTCAGTACTGCCGACTGCCCTTACTTCTGCCAGTGCCCCTGCAGCCGAGAGGTTAGTGTTCGTGCCCCGAGACAGAAAGTGCCCTATGTTTAGAGGAAGGTCAGGGATAGCTCTGAGCGAGTGGCTTGAAGAGCTACAGTCGTGTATGCGGGCTCGTCATTTAGCCCCAGCTGATCAGGCCTACTTTCTGTATGACCATTTAGAGGGAGAAGCACGGGAGGAAATTAAATACCGCCCCAGCACAGAGCGCGGGGATCCAGCTAGACTAATCACTATATTACAAGAACTCTATGGCTGTTCTGAGTCGTATGTGGCCTTGCAGGAAGCATTCTTCTCTCGTAAGCAACATGAAGGGGAAACGCTACTCGAATTTTCGCTCGCTCTCATGAGCCTTATGGAAAGGGTGAAGCAGCGTGCACCGCCTGGAATGCTTAATACAGATAGTCTGTTGCGGGATCAGTTTGTTGAGCAGGTCTTAGACAGCACCCTGAGGCGAGAGCTTAAACAGTTTGTTCGTCATCAACCTGCAGCTACCTTGCTCGACGTCAGAGGGGAAGCCATTAGGTGGGAGCGTGAAGGTCTGCCCAGCACCTTCAGAGGCCGCAGTAACTCCGTCCCTTCCATCAGTGGCATTCAGTATGGAGTTCAGGGTGCTCATTCTGTTGTATGTGTCCCTCCGTCCTCAGAAATGGTAGAGTTGAAGGAAATGTTGAGGCTGCAACAAGAGCAGCTCAACCATTTAACCCAGACCCTCGCTCATATGCAGCGCCCTCATGCTGGTAGTCATACAGCGCATCGTGGGCCCAGAGTGTGTCATCGCTGTCAGAGACCAGGCCATTTTGCGAGAGACTGTGACGGTGTGCGCAATTCCCGCCCCCAGTTTTCTTCACCAGATTCCAGGCCGTCTGCTAGGCAGGCAGAACCCAGCACGGCTCCGGAAAACTAGCACCCACCAAACTGCAGAGCCACAGTTTAGGTGGGGCCCCTCATGGCTCACGCCCTGTGTCTGGTGGGCTAGCTCAAGGCCCCAGACTGGTGTCGTCCTGTCCCTATTTAGAGGTTCTCATGGGAGGAGTCAAGGTGCCATGTTTGATTGACACCGGCTCTATGGTTTCTACTGTTACAGAAAGCTTCTTTCAAAAACATTTTGAACCTTGGGGTCAGGAGCGGCTCAAAGCCTGTAGCTGGTTACAGCTAAGGGCAGCTAATGGTTTGAGCATCCCGTACCTGGGTTATTTGGAGCTCGATGTTGAGTTGTGCGGTAAACTAGTTTCACTGTGTGGTATCTTGGTGGTAAAAGACCCCCCTGGTAATGCTTCTCTTCAGGCCCCTGGTGTGTTGGGAATGAACGTGATCCAGAAATGTTATCAAGAGCTCTTTGTGCAGCACGGTTTGTCCCTGTTTAATCTGCCCTCTGTCACGCAGGCCCCACAACCTGTCACGCAGGCATTACAGGAGTACCATCAGGTGACCACGCAGACCTCCCAGGAGCTGTCTGGGAAGGCAAAGGTCAGAGGTAGGCGTGCCTGTCGTATTGCAGGTGGTGTGATGCAGATAGTCGCAGCTACTTGCTCAGGGCAGGGTACCGATAGCACAGTATTGTTTGAGCCCCTTGACTCTGGTTTACCTGCAGGTTTGTTGGCTTCTCCATCTGTGGTGAGGGTAGTTAGAGGTACAGCATACATACCCATTGTAAACGTTGGCTCTATAGAAGTACTGCTGTACCCACGCACTGTTCTTGGCACTTTACAAAAAGTGAGTGTTGTCAGCCTCCCTGCAGGAATCGCAGAGGTCCCATCCACTGTAGCCATTGTAGCTTCTCACACCGCCTTACCTACCGTGCCAGACCAGATTGAGGGTTTAGATCTGTCTTCTCTTTCCCCTGAAGAGCAAGGTCAGGTGAGGTCTCTCCTTAGAAAGTACAGTCCTATTTTCTCTACTCATGACGGTGATTTAGGCTGCACTAACCTCATCTCTCACGACATTCCTCTGTTAGACGAGACCCCAGTCACGCAACGCTACAGGCGTGTATCCCCTTCTGATTATGAGGCTGTCAAAGACCACATTAATCAGCTTCTTTCTGCTCAGGTAATTAGAGAGAGTTGTAGCCCCTATGCCTCCCCCATTGTGCTTGTAAAGAAGAAGGATGGGAGCCTGCGTATGTGTGTCGATTACCGGCAACTAAATGCCAAGACCAGGAAAGATGCGTTCCCGCTGCCACGCATTGAGGAATCATTGGATGCCTTGACGGGTGCACGCTGGTTCTCTACCATGGACCTGGCCAGTGGGTACAACCAGGTTGAGGTCACGGAGAAGGACCGACCGAAGACGGCGTTTTGTACACCATTCGGCCTGTTTGAGTGGAACCGTATGCCATTCGGACTCTGTAATGCACCTGGCACTTTTCAAAGATTAATGCAGAGGATCTTTGGCAATGAACAAGGTCTGTCTCTGCTTTTATACCTAGATGACATTGTTGTTTTCTCTTCTACTGTAGAGCAGCATCTTCAGCGACTTGACGTGGTACTAGCCCGTCTGAAACAGGAGAGACTCAAGGCCAAGCTCTCCAAATGCACCTTTTTCCAGCCAGAGGTGCGGTATCTCGGCCACATTATATCGGCCAACGGTGTCGCCACGGACCCATCCAAAATAGAGGCCGTGGCAAAGTGGCAGCCTCCCCAGACGGTCTCTGAGCTTCGGTCTTTCCTGGGTTTCGCAAGCTACTATCGCCGTTTCGTGGAGGGCTTTGCAACGCTGGCAGCCCCCCTCCACCGACTGATTGCTGAGCTTGGAGGCACAAAGTCTAGACGGGTCCAGCGGTCCCCACAGCTGAGCCCTGAGCACTGGAAAGAGGAGCTTAAAGACTGTTTTGAGACACTTAAGACCAAGCTCACTAATGCCCCTGTGCTTGCTTACGCAGACTTTTCACTGCCCTTCATCCTCGAGGTTGACGCCAGTTATGGTGGGTTGGGTGCAGTGTTATCACAAGAGCAAAACGGCAAGGTGAGGCCCATAGCTTATGCCAGCCGCGGACTGAAGCCCACCGAGCGTAATATGGCAAACTATAGTTCCATGAAGCTGGAGTTTTTAGCCCTAAAGTGGGCTATGACCGAAAAGTTCCGAGAGTATCTGTTGGGCCACCGCTGCATAGTCTACACGGACAATAATCCACTCAGTCATTTGGCGACTGCTAAGCTTGGCGCCACGGAACAGCGCTGGGCAGCTCAGTTGGCCTCTTTCGACTTCGAGATCAAGTACCGTTCCGGCAGAAGCAACCGAAATGCGGATGCTTTGTCCCGTCAGCATCCGCCTGGCCCATTAGATATGACGGCCATGCTCCCTGGCACACCACTCCCGGAACCACTCCAGCAGGTCCTGAAAGTGAATAAAACGGTCGTGACACAAGCAACTGTGACTGTTTTACCT